CGACTATGATCGGTTGATCAAAGACGGCGGCTGCTTATCCGTATAATGTTTTACATTTGGGGTACAATGTATGATATTATGTAGAACGGAAGGAAACCATACATAAACATTAACTTCTATTGAAGGCTTTTTTTTTTTGCATGGAATACGCACATAAAGTGTCAACAATGGATTTCATGCGTTGTAAAACAAGCCGGAAACATAGACAAGTGCACATTGAAAGCTAAAACTTTCACCGAATGTACACCGAGGTGGTGAATTCTACCTGGTGAAATCTTAAGGCGTAATTCCCTTCCCGCGAAAAATCAGATTCACAACTTACCAGGGTCAACGACAGGCGTGTTCACACACGACCGAGACGGCGAGGTTTGTACCCTGCGGCGCCATCTCCCAATAGGCGTCGCGAGCTGGCCATAGAGCGCGTCACCAGCCAAAGCCTCGTCTATACTAACAAAGCCTGGCAGATCGTCACGTGACACGGCCGCCGAAGGTGGAACGGTAGAGCGGCACACAGGAGTCATGTAACGGGCACCCCGCTGCGGCGAGACGCCGAAACATGCTTGTCTCGAGCGATGGAATGTTCGCTCGTGCTTCTCGCGCTCCTCGGGCTACCGCTTCTTTTCTCGTCGGGTTTGAAAACCATGTTTCGGGTCCTCGCCGCTGCAAAAGCTGTGCGTTGAATACAAAACTCCCCGAGAAATGCCCTGTGCTATTAGATCCTTGTGCTCCAAATCAGCGACCGGGCACCCTATGGCTCCGTCATCGAACTGCCAGGCTTTGTGAGTATAAAGGAGGCTATGCACCAGCTCACTGCGCCGATCGGGGAGGAAGCCTAGATTTAAAAGTGGGAGCAACTGAAACCATGGGGAGCGATTGCAGCTTAATGGCGGACGCCTCCCGGGCGTATTAATTGCTAGTGCGCTTGTGTTGCCTCGTCGCGTTGAGAGGATTAAAGCGGGTGAAAAGGTAGAGACGCTTGTAGACAGTCGACGGTTTCGACCCCTCCTCGCGGCTCGCAATGCAAGCACGGCCCATAAACCACGTGACCCCGCTCGAACAGTTAGAAAAACTCTGACATGTAAGCACTTTAGGAGAGACATTCGAGTATGTAGGTATTGACATCTCACACTGCCACCGAGAGAAAATTTTGCTGGGCCTGCACAAACTGTCTCAGAGCCCCACTCATACTCCTCATATATAAACGAACAACGTAACTTGTTACTTTGCAAAAAAAGGAACGCGTTACCGTTACTGATAAAAAGTTTGCGTTACACTTATCTATGAATTAAAACCTTTTACTATTTTGACGTTACAAGTATATGCATAAGCGCAATATTAAAAAGATGTCCATGCAGAAATTTAGCATAATTACCTTATCTTTTGCGGTTCCACCTGAAGACTCTCGAGGGAAAATGAGGACGTATATTATAGGAAGCTCCTTTCCGACATGTTCGCTCGGAGCTTTTCAGTAGGACCTGCCTTCCGCATTTGCACACACGAGACCAACTGAGGTTTAATTCATTTTATTCTCAACATACTGATGTACTATCGGGTTCGAACGAAACGCGGGCAGTGACGGAACTTCCAGCGCACCAGCGGCGTAGCGTCGAAGCTTGAGGTGTGATGGGCGAGGTTCAAAAAGATCGAGGTACACCTAAGCACTTCTTATGAGTTGTGAATGCGAAAGTATGTACAACAATCTTGCTGTACGCGTGTTGGCACGCTTACTGGCGCTGACGAAAGTTCCTGCATAGCTCTTTACGGGAGCCAGAGTTGCGCGTTCATCCCCGTACCGTTGTCTTTCCTGCACCGCGCGTTGATCCCACTCCTCGCGTTACTGAATTCGGCGAATAGCGGCGCCGCGCGTTCGAGGCGAGCGGCGCGCTTCAAAGCGGGGTACCATACGCCGGTGCGCGCTCAACGTCTGCTTTCCCGCACGGCTTTTGATCTGGCTCCTCACGTGATTGGATCTCGGCGAATAGCGGCGCGCGGCACGTGGAAAACACACGCGCAACTCTGGCCAATACCGCCTAGAGGACAAGGCCTACGCATGACGTTTCGTTAGTAGATCCCCGACCCGCTCCAAGCGGCAAACACCCCGAAGCTTGACGAGAATACGGGCCGCGTCGCATTCACTGGCGGCCACAGCTGTGTGCGCCACTACCAAGCGCGAGCTGATAGCGAGCTTCCAGTTCATTTGCAACGTGCATGCGAACACTCCCTCGGCCAGGAGCGCGAGCTAGCACGCGCTCCTGGCTTTGAGACGTGCATTTCTAGCGCGCGAGCTCGTTCTGCCGAAGAACGCTTCAAAACAGCAACCTCGAGCTCGCGCCTGTAACGTTGGCTGCGTTCAGTGAACGGAGTATAAACAGCGTCCTCAAAAATGGCGTCCAGTGCCAGCGTCCAACGAAGGCCAATTTGCAGCTCTTCGCACAGCAGTAAGGCATTTTCACTCATGCATTTGACGCTCCACCGTGAACGTCTGACTTCATCGTATTTATGGCAAGAGACACTCGGCGTGAGCATCTGTTTCATTATCTGCTACACAAACCACTGAAGCAGGCGATGGAGCAGACGATGGTGCTCATCCGGGCTACCTAGGGGGCGCTGAGCGGATCTACTAGTGATGACGTTTAGAAGAGAAGACGCGCAAGCCTTGTGTTTGAGGTGGTATTGCTCTGGCTCCCGTAGGGAGCCTATACACAAACTCTAGCGCTGACGGACACGCAGCGCTATGAGGTGGCCGGTCGCTTAAACTGATGCAAAGCGTCAGTTTCAACGACCGGCTATTCCGTGGTGCATCCCAGTGTTGCGGAATGGGCACCCCCATTCCATTCCAATTCCATTCCGGGGAATTAGAGTTTCCAATTATTCCATTCTTTTCAACTCCTAGGAATGGGGACACTGGGCCCATTCCCACTCAATGGAATGGCTGAGTCGCTCCATTCCATTCCTCCAATTCCTAAACGTAAAAATTGGCACTTGACAGCTGGATTACGTTGCGGGGTTGGGCAGAAATATTTGAAAATGTATTTGGAAATATAAATACTGGGAGAGATGAAAATAGTTGCTAAGATACTGATACTCAAGTCTCAAATATATATATAAAAATATATCGTGATACGTATTGGAAATACATTTTAAAATGAGGCAAAAAGTATTTGGAAATACAAAAGAATACATTTTAGGGAGGCCAGAAATATAAATACTCATAATACAATACATTTTTCAAATTTCTTTGAGACGCCAACTGAGATGAGGAAGCTTGAAGGGGAAGTTTTTGTTTGTTTGTTTTTTGTCCCGAAATTACTTTTCCGCAGGCTTGGCACTTCGCATTGAAGGTAGTGGTTCCGGACGAAGAGTCCTAAATGGGTTTAAAAAACGTTACATCAAGGATTGACCGCGGTCCCTTCTCTGGCATCCTGTCTGACTGACCAAATATGCGAAAAGACTTCGACCTCTAAAATAAATTCCATCAAAACATCACCACCTCCCTGTCCAATAAGGGCGCGTCTGTCAGCACTGATCACATGACGTCACGGTGGGATGAACTAGTATTCTTGAATCTGTAGGTGTTGCCTTGAACATGAAACTTTACCCACGCTGCTGTATGAAAGAACAATACATACGTTCGTGGTAGCTGACCTCGTTGAACACCATGCAGGCAGTTGCATTTGGAATTTTCGAGAAAAGTGGACCACCTGAAGCATCCTGAAGCAAATGTATTATCTTTTGTTACGGTTGAAAAATCGATACTGTGGCATCCCTGTTGTGACGGTCCTTCCTGCCGACCAGTCTTCAAATTTCGCCTAGCATCATTCAAACAGAGACCTCGTGGATTGCGACCTGAGATGGCCGGCACAGGTGCGAGCTCTTCGAGAAACAGCGCGCTCGAGACGAGTCGAAAGTGTACGAAGTCTGGGTCCGCACAGCGAGGCCACGTCTGGCCTCCTTCCTGGGTATCGGATCACCAGAGCAGCAGGTCACGCTCACGTCGGCTGATGACGTACCAGCCGTGCAGTATTACAGGCGCAGACGCGTTCGGATAAGTGTTGAAGTTCACTGGTGAAAGGCGCCACCGCCGCCCCCCCCCCCCCCCCCTTCCCCTCCCTCCTCTGTTCTTTGCTTTGACGCTTGTTTTTTGTATTGCATCTTTTTCTTTTGCGCAAAAGTCTGCTAGGGCCTTACGCGGGTTCGCAGTTTCCCGCTCATTTTATTTCTGAACAACCGACTGCCTGACTGGCTCGGTATAGCAAAACGTAAAAAAAAAAATATATATATATATATATATATAAAGAACCTGGCCCATTCCATTCCCATTCCATTCCGGGCAAAAGGCATCTAATTCCATTCCCATTCCATTCCCCTCACCGTTGCCGCCATTCCATTCCCATTCCATTCCGGGGTTGCGAAAATGCGGAATGATTCCGGAATCATTCCAACTCCGGAGTGGCAACTCCGGAGTTGGAACTAGCTTGGCACGCGACATTCGTGCCATGGATATCGCGGTGACGGTTATATGCCAGACTGCATTTTGTGCGATTTATGAGCAGTGTGACTCCGGCTTATGAAAACGCAAGTAAACGCGCCTGTGTGAATGGGCCTTTACTTGAGATAAGTGCTCATACGTCACTGTATTGAAAAACGTAACGAGTACGGTACTACGCTACCGAAAAAGGGTTACGCGCTACCGGTAACGCCGTCACCTGTAACGCGTTACCGCGAAAACTGCCATTTATCGTATGCAGAAGACACGGAGTTCTCTGCACACGTGATGACAGCCTCTCCTGCGGACAGGCCTCAAGGTGCACGTTCGAAGTACGTTTGCTTCCTATAGATGTATGCTTAGACGTTAGGCCATCTCTGCAGACAGTTTTTGTGTGACCAATGTGGCAAGACAGGGAAAAAACGCCTCAGCAGACGGTCTCAGCAGACTGTCTTTTGTATGCCATACGAGCAGCGCGAGTGCGACTTAAAACTCCGTGTTTTGTGTCTTTCAGGTGATACGGGGCTTTACGATACTGGGATACGTGCTGATGCTCACCGCTCCGCGGTACGAGGTCACAAAACTTCACAGGCAAGACGAGAAGCCACTCATCAGTAAGTATATAGAACGCGGCACAACCTTGGAGATGCACATGCAACGTGACGTTTCTCCCTGCTGGGACTGTGAAGGCCTGTTAACTCGCACATGCAGCGGAGTGCTCCAAGCATAGCACTGACCTCGCACTAAGCGCGTGCTGACGGGAGCGTTCACCAGCTTTTTATCGCACCGTCAAAGCTATTGCTCATGGCAGACGAAAAGTGACGACACGTGAGCAGCGCTATCAGCGCTTCGCTGCATGTATGAACCGACCTTAAAATTGTTTCAGTTGCCTCAGGCGTTCCGTCAACTGGTGTGCGAATGTACGTTTGAGTCATGTACATGCTACTAAAAAAAAAAGAAGAAAAAAAAAACTAATTACAGTTACGCGTTGCTCGCCCTTGTGTTAACAAAGAGTTCTAACCGAGAAAAAAAAAAACGCGTTAATTTACTTTTGTATTAAGCCGTTATTTTTCTCGTTTCTTTTCCAAGTTAGAGTAAGTGATGGGCCGACATGAAGCTAAAACATACATGTGGCACACACACAAACAAAAGACCTACGAAAATATTGCCGAAACTTCATCGAAACAAACCTCGTTTGCTTTTACCATACCGGATTGCGTGGAGGGCAGTTATTAGGAAGTTGGGCGAAGTTGACGCGGTAGGCGCGGCAGTGCTATGCGCCTCGGTCAATGGCAGTATAACGGCGTGTCCTTTGGGCGTTTCTATATCGTGTCGCACATAGGACACGAGTTGGGTCAAGGACAAGCTATATGCTGTGCACATGTGCTGTTTTGTACCTTTTTCATAGAATGTAACGAAGTACGATTAGTCGTACATCGGTCACAATTACCGAAAATACGTTACTCGTTCCTGTCACTGACAACAAAATAATTATTTACTCTATTATCAAACCATTAACGAGTAAAAAGGCGCACATTATAATCTGAATTACGTTGCGAACAAGTCTTGAATCATTTATTCGAAACTCAAGTATCGACCAGAAATGTTTTAGCAATCGTTTCTGATTCTCGCACTTTTAAAAGTACGCCGGCGAAGCGATAACTATAAATTAACGCAGGTGCACTTATTCTGAGCATGGTTCCCGCCGGACGCTTAGCAGAATGCTACTTTATTTAATGAGGACTCCTTCATGCTTCAGACACTGTATACAGTGTGCCAAAAGTTCGTGTTCTATAAAACATATTTGATTCGGAACTTTACTTTCAAAGTCTTCTATCGCATGAAATGCATTATAGGGAATTGACAAGGGGATCGGTGTGTCACGTGACGTACATTTCCCCGCTAAATTTATCAGGGAAACAAAATCTTTGCATAGTTAATGTGACGTCAGGTCAAGTGACGTCGATCCCCCCCCCCCCTCCCCTTCTCCCCCTAAATTTAGCGGGGAGAGTGGATTGGTGTTCAGGTTACAAGACCTGCATTTTCACCCCTAAATTTAGCGGATAACTGAATTGGCGTACAGACCTTTCCTGTGGCAGTCTCGAAGGAAGCGATTTACAGAACGCGTACCTGGTTTTGAGAGTGTACGTCAGTGTTGCCTGACTGCGCTGGGCTGTGGCAGCCTGCGTAGGTGCACTTCCGGAAGCTGGCGGCGTCTGAACTGTCGCGTTTTATTTTTATTTTGTATTCTGGGGAGAATAGAATTTCCCGAGGTCTTTATGAAAGCACTGTAGTATTTTTGGGAACAAAAACAAACAAATGAAAGGTACTCTTGGTGAGTCCGTGCGCGACCGATCAAATGCAACCGGAATGCGTGTGATCATTTTATGTTTCTTTTTTTACGACACTATACATGCAGCCGTGTTAATTTACAAAGGTCTTAACTGTCGAAAATATTTGCCCACACACAGGATAGACGAAAGGCATGGGTATTCCACGCTCACAGGAAATTCAACGAGTCTTATCAATCGAACATGATATAAACATATATTTTACATACCCCATTGTGTCGCGTTATCCGAACAGGATTTGAGAAAGGTCTCAAATAACACAAGATATCCAATATACAGTGTCGACGACAGTCATTTCACGACGATCGGAAGGAATCCAGCTCGTTTAATTAAAGGCACGTTTTGAAAAGAGCTGCTTTTTTTCTTTCTTCTTTTTTATTTTTTTCCACGGCACCAAAGCTAATGAACGAAGGTTCATTTGCTTGGAGCTATTTTTCGTGACCGGGAACAAACCCTGAAAGCCTTTTCGGAGATTATTTCGATGGAAATAACCCTCGAAGAACGTCGAGCGACCCGCGTCGTGGGCTGCTTGACGTTCGCTCTCTTCGTTTGTTTCCTGCGAGGGCCGAGCAGGCTACGAGCCCTGGTATTCCCTGGTTCTCGAAGTGTAACATCACACACAAAGAGTAAGCATCCTGAACAGGCAGATAAAGTAAAAACATTCAAGAAAAGCCGGCAAACTCCGAATGCACATTGCAGGTGGGGATTCCCGCTGACCTGGTATCCACACCTCAAGCGGGTGGCAGAAATTTTTGGCTGATAGGGGTCGCTCGAGTCGCAAAATGGCGGCGGCCACAGTGCTCTTTTTGCGAAGGTTTATAGGTCACTGAGATGTCAGTTTCCCGGAAAATTTCGCGTGGAGACTGAATTTATGTTTTGGCAACAAGACGTGCATTTTCCCGCTACATTTAGCTACATTTAGCGGGGAAACTGAGTTGACGTATAGGTCACGTGCCGTCAATTTCCTCAAGGTGTGTAAATCATGTGGGGCAGCGAAGAAAAGCTAACCGGAGTAAAGCTTACCGGTAAAAAGCTCACCGCGAAACTGACCAATGCGAAGAAAAGCTCACCGGCCTTTGGACGAATGCGGATTAAAGCTCACCTACGAATCTAAGAATCGGGCGTTCACTCAAATGAAATACGCTCTCTCAAGTGAAACATGCTCACTCAAGTGAAATACGCTCACTGAAGTCAAATACGCTAACTCAACTGAAGTATGTTCAAATGCCTTTTGAGCACGCGGTCATTCTGCCCTTCACCAAAAGAATTTATTTTTTAAAGTATAAAAAGCGTCCTGTACCCTATAATTTCAATAGAGCGCTAATAAAATAAGCGGGGGATACGTAACCCGCGTAGAGTGCGGCAGTGTGAGGTTTTTTTGGATATTTATATATGAAATGACCTTCAATGTAGTATGCCGACACCGGATTGACAAATCTGAACATTTAGTTATTTGTTTAAAAGCAGTGGTTTTAACTCAGACCTCATTCTAACGAGCAAAAAAAAAAAAAAAAGCCTACTTCCTTTATCTCAGTTACATCAGAATTAGATATGGGAACACGAACGCGAAATGGCTTGGAATAAAGTGGAACGAGGGCTACAGCCAGAGTGGAGAATAAAAATCAAGATTATTTAAATCGTAATTTAAATTATGATATAAGTCTGACCAGTTTTGCTAAAAGTATTTTAAATCAAACCTTTTCAGCAAAAATAATCCTAAATATGTTTTGTTTTATTCACCTGTTTGTTTATTGTTTTATGCTTTGTGTGCGCATACCTTCTGTATTTAACTTAAAGAATCGTCCCACAAGCAATATTTATATCGGGCTGAACACAAGCAAAAGGCAGTGGTTCTCAGAGCGAATTGATGCTTGAGCTTCATTTCAACCTTCGACTTTGTTTGTCAGTCACATCAAATCATTTTTGCAATCATATCAGAACGCGAGAGATAGAAACAAAAACTGAAAAACTAAAGTCGCATTGCAAGAAAATGAGATCGCGAAAATAAGAAGCACGTATAGCTTCTCGCTAACTAAAAGACGAAGCTTTTCTTGTTTTATGGTTGGGTTTTCATGAACAGAAATTTCTTAAAATTGCGGTAGTTAGTTCTTCCCCATTGTTTTCACTGATCCAAAGAATTAAAATAAATATACCTAAATTGTAGAATTAAAAAAAAATATTCAGGCTACAGCAGAGCAATTTGATGTTAAGCGTGTACGCTGGCTGTCACTGTCAACCTAAAGAAACGATAAGCGTTTTTTTTCTCTTCTTTTTTTTTTATTTTAGTGGTTGCCATTAAACCGGTGGAAATCGCTGATACGGGGCACAAGCTTATGCAAAAACGTTTGACGCAGGTCAGCACTCTTCACCAAATAAAATCTAAAAAATCGCTTCGCACAAACTGTGAGAAGGCCTAAAACATTGGTAGCACTACTGATATTAAATTATAACGAACACTTTACATTCAAATTAAATTCAAAGTGAGCTTTCCTTTGGGTCCGTTAAAAAACTGGTAAGCTTTTTTCCGGACCCGCCCGAAAATGGGTGATCCTTTCTCCGGTGAACTTTTTCTTGGGAATCCTCACGTGACTCCACATTCCCGCCAAATTTAGCGGGGAAACTGAATCGGTGTATAGGTCACGTAACATAAATTTTTTCGCTAAATTTAGTGGTGAACTGAATTGTTATGTATGTCACGTGACGTGACGTCAGGTCACGTGACATAAATTTTCCCGCTAAATGCAGCTGAGAAGCTGAATTCGTGTATAGACATCGTGATATCGATTTGCTTGCTAAATTTAGCGGTAAATTCAAGGACGGACGGGTGGACGGACAAAATTTTAGGATTGGGGGGGGGGGGGGGGGGGGTAGCGTTAAAAGAATTTCATAGTTTCAAAAAAAAAAAAAAGAATAATAATTTACATTACGTGGGAATGTATTGAGCAGAATATGTTATTATGGCCTTGAGCAAAGCCTTTGTTTTCATGTGCTACGGGGGACAATTTGTTTGAGGCCGGAATTATAGCGCAAGCTCAAACTTACTGCTTTGAAAATATTCGTCGGACAAGCGTGGGGCTATACACTGTTGGAGAGATGAGGATCGTAGCCACAAGATAACGTGCGCCCAAAGTCCTCCAGTTTATTGATGACGTCCACCACGAAAGAGGTGTAAAGTCGTCACCCGCGCCGCCTCGACGTTGTTGCGAGGCGGGACAACTTCTGAACCACTCGTACCTTAGCTTTCGATGAGGTCTTATCGGAGA